GGCTGGCTGGGGTCCTGCAGGTGGGCGGACAGCAGCCGCCAGTTCGTGTCGTCGTAATTCACTCGGTAGAAACCTAAGAAGATATCGCAATTGAGGGGTGGAACATTGTTGTTTTTAGCGCCAAAATGGCTGCTGAATTTACGATACATTTATTAAAATATTCATGTTTAAATCTAAATTCTTAATGCTCCGGGTGTAATGAATTCTATTTATTTCTTAAACATTTCAATGAAATCAACAGGTACACTCAACTGAGATAATAAGACATTTATGTCTGAGTCTCACCGGTAGCTTGGACGTTGAATATCACCCATTGTCCTCCTGACGGCAATCCACTAAGCATGCGCCACTGCTGTGTATTTGTGAGATAGGACCTGGGCGTTGTGTCTGTGAAATCTCCTCCAGGCCCCACCCAATTGAGCGGGATGTAGTACAGAGTGGGATCCGGTGTCGTTTGACTATTTAGGAGAAATCGTGTCTGGAAATGATGTTTGAATTGTAACCATACATTTATTAATTTTATTATTTGAACATAAAACGTAAACAATTTGCAAACTATTTGAAAGAACACATGACAATATTCCTATCAATAAAATTTTAAATCCTTTGTATTTATGATCAAATTTGTTATTGATTACGGAGAAGAAAAGAACTGTGAATTATCAGAACATTTATTGCTTTAAATCCACAATGGTTTAATTGCATTAATTAATATATAATTTTTAATACATTTCCAATAGAACCATTTATATAGTTTATGGAAAAACAGTTTATTATCCTACAATGTAGAGCTTCTGTAATGAAAATCACAAAGAAAGCAAATAAGTGTAATCCAGAAGGAGGCAGACTTGATAAAACATCCAATTGATTTTGATAAACCGAAAAGAAAGAGATTTGATCTATTTATATTTCATATTACATAAGTGAGTACTTGTGTTCTAAAAGAAAATAAGTGGTTTGGATATGTAAGAATGGAGAAATTACTAATTTTTTTTGAAGAAATGAAAGAATTGAAAAATGTTTGACAACTGTGATAGGTTATCACAAGTATAAATAAATAAGAACAGTAAAAGTGCGAATCTTAATTAATAACATACAAGAGAATGTCAACGTAAGTGATAGCGGGGAACGAGAATACGTTAATAATTAAATTCATGAAAGGACAATTTCCGTGGGTGTTGAAATATGTTACGAGAAATATTACGAACAAGGAACCAATACAGAGTAAAATTACTAGAGACCAATCAGAAGTAAGATCATGTGCGACATATCGAATGGTCTGCACACTACAAGAAAAGAAGAGACAAGTTTGGGGAGGATCTCGCGCACGGAGAGATAGCTGACGAGCCCCTAAGATAAACGAGTGATTCAGATGGACTTTTAGAGCGGAAGGAGTCGGAAGTAAAGGTGATGTTCCGATGTAGTCGAAGTTGAATTTAAACTTTGTATGATTGTCCGGAATAACATTTGGGAGCATATAACGTTTGATTACTAGTTAGTAAAATCGTTGAGATAAAGTAAATAGTATGAATAACGGGTAGTGAGAAACGTAATTAAAACCGCGTGTGTGAATAAAATGGATACAATTGGTCTGGAATGTATGCATCAAGTTGGAAAATGAATGAATATCTCGACTTTCAAGAATGCAGTAGCTTTTCAGAAAAGGGAAGTAATGAAACAGGGGACGTTTTGAATTTACAACTGTCGGAAGAGTAAATTTTGTCGTAATTTTAAGAATTGTACATTAATAATTAAAATAACTTTTCCAAAATTGGCTTGGAATGACCATTTTTATATTTTTTGAATTTTCCAAAGAACTTTTTTTTCACATTTTCCCGAAAACGCACTTTAACACACGGCACGGGTTATCGAAAAGTTTGTAATATAATTTCTTAATAATTACATTATTCCCTTTTAATTTTTTATTTTTATAACTTTTTTAAATTATAAAATTTTATTTGAACCAAAAGTTTACAATATCGGACCAGGGATAACCCAAATAATGGTGTCAACATGATATTAACAGCCATGTTTAATTGCGCCTAACGATAAGTCCAACAACAAATTTTGGTGACACCATGCATTTTGACAAAGTGCAATAATTAAGAATCTAAAGAGAAAACGCATCCAAAAAAATTGTATATGCCACCACCTCCTTGCTTATTATGTAACTGCAATTACTATGAACGATATACACTGTTGAATGGGTGTTGACGATACTTAGGTTTTGTGCAGAGCATCTTAAAAAATTAATTCAAAAAAACATTTTAAACAGCGTAAAACAATTTTAATAGTTATAGTGCTGATTTAAAATAAGAATTCTTGTTCTCATTACCTGAGTAATTTGCGCTGAAGTTGATAAATAATTCCTTTCGACCTTGACAACCGGGAAGCCAGGCTGTTCTGTCCAAGATCTCAGCAATCGTAGAAAGGAATTAGGGTCTAGTTTTGAAGCACTGGATTTGTCAACTAGATGTTTGAATAGATCATCCGGAACTGTTGTTGAATAGCGACTAGAATGTAAAATGTTTTTTCACTATATGTTTGGTTATTTACAAATCCATATAATATAATTAATGAGTATAGACTCACTGCGCATTAAGATAAGAATTCAAGGCTTCTTTGAAATTATCCTCTCCCATAACAGCACTCAGCATTCGTAAGATAGAAGCACCTAATTAAAATTAAACACAATATTATCAATAATTGTTCTTTTAAGGATTTATTCACTGTACCTAAATTTTCGAATAAATGATTTCATAAAATGACACATTCCGAAGCTCAAGAAGCTCTTTTCATAAGAAAATGAGTTTAAATTTTCCTTATCCGTTTCATTAAAAAATCCAATACACAAAATCAATGAACTCTGTAAAGGAAATTAATGACATTTAATTCATTTTTTTTTAATTTTAGAAAATCAAATATTTTACTGTTTTTAAATTTACTATTTATTACATCCATTTCATTAAATACTTCCATTTGTTTCAGCAGTTCACTTTAATAATCCTCTCGCACTACTCCTAATCACTGGTGTTTGTTTCTAAGTTAAATATAGGTGTTGTGGTGTGATATCTTTGGCATTTTAAAAATAATTAAAGATGTTGTCATTGCCAACAAT